GACGGTCGATCCTTGCCGCCTCCCACGTCACCGCACACCGTCATGGCTCCAAGATGCTACGTGTTGTTGGCGAAACTGTCCGTCGTTTCCAACGCAATTGCACGAACGTAACGAAACTAAGTCTCCGGGATTCGGGGGCGACCGTCCAGAGTTGTGGTTGTGCCAAGACGGACCGGCGGGACGATGCGTCGCGTCTGTGCAGTCGTGGATGGAATGGGCAGTGGGGTGTGCGACATCACTTGACATGGCGCATCGCGCGCGAAACCGGACCTGGTTAAGCGGGAGCACAAACAACTCGAGGGCATTGTCCTCGAGAACTGCGTCGTCGAACCGTACGACACGATTGTTTGCCATGTCTGCGCTTTGCGCAACATGTTGGGTCGAATCCAGCAGTTCGATTCACTTCAAAGGTTGTCGTGCCTTAGCCACATCACCCCGTCACGAGACTCTCGAACGGCGCTGCCGAACGCGACGTTACCTCCACAAAATGGACCCGTCGCGCCAATTGTGATTGCGCAGCATGGATTCACACTGCGCCACTCTCGTGGTATCGCAGAGTTTTTTTCGCCCGTGAAAGTCGAGCCAGCACTAGCACGTAAACCACCGGGCGCTCGATGTCACGCCGAGCAGGATTCACACAGCACCGTACACGAGGGTAACCATGAAGGGTCGCGTCCGAAGACGTCAAAGCTCCCGACGCTGTGGGCTATCGAGCAAACAGGTGTTCTGCAGTCGTATGCCTGGCTTGCCACTGATCGCGGGCTACTGCTGCTGTGTAGACGGAGTGACAAGCGGCCACTCTATTGACACGGCGGATGCGATGCCAGATCCTGTGGGCAGACAGCAAACTCGAGATCTTTCCTGCAAATCAAGGGTCAAGGATGTATGCATGTGTGCATGTGGCACACGCATGCTGCTGAATCCATCCGCAAAAAGTGGTGGACACAGCATGGCTCGAACAAACCGCTTCGCAACCACGTCGAACGATGCTCAAGCTGCTTGGAGGGCAAACGTGCCGCAGTGCACAAAGTCCATGGCACAATCACGAAACAAGGAAAACGTGGAATTCATCGGAACGAGTGCGGCCGCGCTGGTTTGACTGGCGGATGGAAACGAGTAGGATCGTCGCGGGGCTTTCATCCTGTGCACACCGACGACCGGCGCATGCAGCCATAACATTGCTTCAACGCAGCACGGCCGTCTCGAGATCGCCCACATCCAGATCTCAACCTGTCTCGACTCAGGGCAAGACCGTTTCAAGTGTAACGCTTGGATCGAAACGGCGACACGACGTTTGGTTCAAACCAGACGATGCAAGTTGCCGCTGCAGAAACGACGGTCGACCCAGCGGCGGCGGATGCCTCGAGCTTGTTTCGCAGTCATGCCGTCTCCCTTGTCGGCAGTGCGATGGCCGTGATGGCCTCGGTGGGCATCACGTTGGCGTATATGACGATCTTGGACTCGTACGTGCAAAACGACTACTTCTGGACACACTTCAACGAGACAGGAGCTCAAACGTTCGTTGCCGACGTATTCAACGCCCAGCTGTGGACAGCGGCGCCGGGCCCAGACGGACGCCCCCCACTTGATCTCTTTTCGATTGATGTCGCCATAGCCAAGGACTACTCGGCCCCCCACACATCCACAACGATTCAAGCATCGCGGAACCGTCGAATTGCCGCCGAGGAGCTCCACGACATCGCGTTTGCGATTCCAGCGCTTCGAGCCCAATCGATTCGCAAGAGCGCGAGGTCGCTCACGTGCCCCTGCTGGCTCGACTTCGACCGACGGTGGGAAGTCGCATACACGACAAAACGCCAGCGGCGATGCCATGCGCGGTACGCTGACAACGGCGCAGCGTACTTGGAAGCCATGCTGCGCAACACGGACTGGACCAAGTGGTACATCATGTGGGGGTCTGGGTTCGAAGCAGCATACGGAGGCGCGCTGCGAGAGCTTCTAGGGGGGGCTGCGTGGCTCGAACAAACCACGACCGCCCTCGCCACGACCGCCGTGGACGCTGAGATCGAGTGGTGGACGCGGCACAACGTCTCGCGGTACACGATTGCGTGGCACAACCACTACGAAATCGGGTTCGACGACTCGGTGATCCTTCGGAACGCGGTCAGTACATTCTCGATTCCACTGCACCATGTCGTGAGTCAAGAAGGGCTCTGGACAAGCTACCTGGCGTCCGCGGGTTTGTGGAATGGCTGCTACTTTGCTGTTGAGGCCAATGTGAGCCTTGTTCGAGGCGCGAGTAATTCCCTGCACAGCCGACCCGACGCCGTCAGCCCCGAGCTGTGGACGGGCGGATACCCAGACACCGCATGGAGCGTTCTCTTGCATGACACCGTCGGTCCGATTGGGTCGATCGACATCCTGTACGTTCAGCCGCCCCGGGCATTTCTTGATTTGCATTCAGACATGTCCAAGGCGCTGCTCCTGCGCCTTCAGGACTCGTCCGTTCCATCGATGCCAGCGCCGACTCACCTGGACATGGTTCCGACTCCGTGGCGCAAACAAGGCATGCTGTTTGCCGGGGGAAATCCACTCTGTTACACGGGGGCGACGCGGTTGTACGTCCAGCAGAGCATCGGGTTCGACGACGGGTGCATAGATCCGTACCCGCCGATGACAGTCGACGCGACGTCCTTCAACACGATTCTGGCGCTATGGCTCGTGGAGCAATCGCATGGCAACAATGCCAGCCACGCAGACATGTGCTTGTCCACGGGGTCGCATGCACAGCCTGCGTGCAACTCAGCGATTTCGCTTGGCCGTAGCTTTCTCGCCAACTCGATGGCGTTTTCAACGCTTGAAGCGAGCGCCACGTCCATCTCGCAGGCTGTGCAGGCTGTGGAAGATCTCCACGTTGAGTTGATGCAGTACGCCTCTTACAACGGCACTCCGTTGGTCCTCCGCCAAAGCCTCCTGGACAAACACGATCTTTCGTGGTCGTTCTTTGGCTGGCTGCATCTCTTGGACTGGGCCCAAGGTGTCCGCGAAGTGTTGGCGATAGAAGGCGACGAAGCCACGATGGTCCTCATCTCCAAGCAGTATGCCGCGCAGTCGTTTGTGGCCGATCCGTTGGCCACCCCCATGCGATTTGCATTCGCGTTGTGGGTGTTGTTGTGGTACATGAACGTCGTGATGTTTGCCGTCGTCATGTTGGCCGTGGCAAGCGCCGTGCCGAGCAAGTTGCCCTGGCGCCACTGGATGGTTATGCATCGTGTGGCTGGCGTCGTTTGGATTGGCCGACCGTTGTTGATTCTGCGAGGCCTGACCGCGATGGCGCTTCTCAGCACGTCCAAAGTGCAGCTCGTGGCGCACCACGGCTTCACCAGCCTCGCGGTGACGCCGCGGTTGGCGTGGGAGACATGTGTGATTGCTGGCGAAGCCGTCTGGCTCACCTACTCGATCAACGACATCCTGTCGTTAGCCACCGGCATGCACACGTTGCGTTGCGGCGTCATCAACGCCGGCCTCGTGTGGACATTCTATGTCGTTCTGGACCTGCTTCATCCTGTCATGCCGTCCGTCTCAACCCGTCGACGGTGCGTGAGCCACAACATGGAAGTGCAAATGTCGTGTGTGTCGGGGGACGTGGAAATCGGGAGCTTCGATCGATTTGTGGCACTATGTGCTATCCAAGGAGCGGCCGTGGTGGTGTCTTGGTGCATATCTGCCTTCCTGCCCGCCCCCCACGCACATGCGAGGGCATCCGTCATCGTCCCAGCCGTCGCGCTGACCTCGTTTGCCATGGACGACACGCCCGTCGCAATGCTGGACTCGTTTACCAGCTTATTAAGCGGGCTTGTTTCGTTTCATGTCAGGCACCGACCGCACGTATTTAGCGCGCTGCTATGGGTGCATGTGCCATTGGCATCACGTAGAGAGGGTAGTGGTGATCCGCCGCCATTACCTTGCATTGACACGGAGGAGCGCATGCCGCCGCGGCAACGCATACCCCAGTGGGCAGCAGTCGGGGCCAGGCGGTATCGCCACCAAGCTCGGGCCGTGGCCGGGCTCACGTTTTTGGTGGCGTCCGTGGCGTCGTCCGCCTCGTTTATCGTGGTGACCAAGGCCCAATTTACCAACAACTTTTTGTGGCAAGGGTTCAACAGCTCCGGGATGCAGGCATTTCTGGTCGACTGGTACAACTTGGAGGTGGTGTTTCGATCGGAAGCGACCCTGTTGGACGGCCAACACGTGCACTTGCAAGCGCTGTACAACGGCACTGCCACGACAGTGTCGACGAGCCAATTCGCGTCCAACACGGTGCAGTTTGACAGACTGAGTTTGGCAGCTCTCATCGCAGGGCTCCAGACCACGGCACCGTGCGACTTGCCGTGGGTGGCGACGCAATTTTGCTGGGTCGATTTCCGCCGCCGATGGCAAGTCGCCAACTCGGTGCTGCGCCAGCGCCGATGCGACCGACACATGCCGTCGAATGGAGCTGTGTATATGGAAGCCCTGTTCCGAAACACCGACATGGCGCGATTCACGGCGTGCTGGGGGGATGCACTCGACGTCGGCCTCTTTCGCGACCTCAGGCAAACATGGGACGGTCACCAGTGGATCCGCGATGTTTTCAACGCCCCCTTGCGCCCGGCGGACGAGCTGCTCTTCTGGGCTGCACACAACATCACTACGTTTACTGTGCAGTGGCAGAACTACAAGTCGATCGGGCTGGTCGAAACGTTGGTCGTGCAAAGTGCCCTCGGCATGTCGTACCCTCTGACCATGAAAACTTCCAACGGCACGTTCCGCTTCGACTTGGAAACGTCCCGAAAGATGTATTGGGGATGGGGCGGCGACTTGTGGGCCATCACAAACACAACGATGGAGGGTCCAGGGGCGAGCTTGATTCGAAGCAGCGCGACCTTTGCCTTTCGCAATGACTCGATCGAGTCTGTGTTGGCTCGAAACGACACCATCTCGCTGCCGCTCGACCCTGGCCTCTCGTTGGTTCGTTCGGTCGTCGGGCCGTTTGGCAGCACCGACATGTTTCACGTTGGCTGTCCCGAGCCTGTTCTACGTCTGGTTCGAGCATTTCTCGAAGTGGACCACGCGGCGCTGCTGACGCACGATGACGCCCAAGTGGACGTCTCCTTCACCAGCGACGTGATGAAGCCCATCCCTACCGCCTGGCAGCGATATTCTGAATCGAAAGGCGGCAACATTCTGTGTCCTGCCATCGTGGGCGGTGGGCCCCTGCCGTCTGGAATGATCGCGCTCCTGACCATGTACATGTCGTGTGGCGCGTACGTCATGGAGGTGTTTCCCCTGACCAGGCGAGGCCTAGCCTTTTCGTCCATCGCGTGGGGGGGCCACTTGAAATGCCCGAGCGGCGGCGACGGATGCGCCTTCATCAGCGACGCTTGCTCCAACATCACGACGCCGTCCACCACCTGTAAGAAGAGCTTCTTGGCTGTGCTTGCGTGGACGAGAGAGTACATGTCGCGGACATCTCAAGCAGCTCTCTTCCAATCGTCCCAGGAAGTAAAGCAGGGTCTGCTCGACATGCAACTGGAGGTGGTCCAGTACGCACAATTGGACGAGTCGTCTCCGCTCGAGCTGCTGCGCGCGCCCCTCTTTGACCCGGCGGACCCCCACTTTGAACTGGTCGCGTGGCAAATCGTGTTCGAATGGGCGATGGGGTTTCGCGAGGTGGTGTCGTTCCAGGGCGATGTTGGCACGATGAATATCATGTCAACCTACCAAACGTACACGTCGACTCAGCCAAATCCTTTGGAGATTCCGACCAACGTGGCATTCTACTGCATGCTGTGCCTCCAGTACACGACGGCCGTCATCTTTGTCGTCACGTTGATCACGATCGTGTACATCGCTGCGTCGAAGGGGCGCGTTGAAGGTCTCAACATGATGAAGGTGAATCGAGTGGCTGGAATCGTCTGGGTCGGCCGCCCCCTCTTGTGCCTTCGCAGCCTCGTGGCCATTCTGTTGCTCGCTACGTCGTCACCACGGCTCGAACAGTCGGGAAATTTTACCACGCTAGCCAAACGCGCCAGCGACGAGTGGGTCGCCACGTTGTTCAGCGGATCCGAGGCATGCTGGCTCGTCATCGTTATCACGGACGTCGGGATGGCAGCGACGAGAGACCTCACCAACAAATACTCGTGGAATAGCACTGTCGCCGTCGCGGCCCTCGCTACGCTCCTCAGCATGACGTATCCAGTCGAGCCTACATTTGTCCTCCACCGCACGTGCACGGCCCCGCAGGTGAACTTTCAAGTCGAGTGTTGTGCCGGTGTTGTGCAAATTGGGAGCTTGGCTCGCGTGGTTCAACTCGTCCTGCTCACATCCGTTGTCATCGTGCTGTGCTACGTGTGGCAACGGTGGCGCCGACCACAGTTCCGACTGCCCCACCACACCACGTCCCATCTCTTGCCCGCCGGGGCATTGTACCTCTACAACAAACAACCGTGGATTGTCAAGAGCACCTTGTACTTGGACAAGGCGTCCGCATTCTTGTGTGGACTTATCGCGGTCTCGTACAACCGGTCGATGTATGTGCTGGACGTCAAAATGTGGCGAGTCCACGTGATCGCGATTGACAGCGCCGTCGATCTGCCGCCTCTCGCGATGAACTCGCACCTGCAGCGATCGATTGCTTCGGCCGTGCCTTTGATCAACTAGACCAAGCAGTGCTGGTTGGTACAGACCGTGCACCCCTCGTCGCGACGTGCTTCCACAACAAATCGGATCGAATACGGCCGGGAGCCCATCGTCGATCCGTGGCGGTGGATGGTGTCCATGTTTGCATGACGCAATCGATTCCATCGCAAACGACCTGAAGTTCCGGCAAACCACGAAGGACGGCGTAAAAGCGCGTGCTGTTGGGTCGCCGAACACGACCAAAGGCATTCGACCGCTTTCGGTTTTGTCAATACGCGCATGTGGCTTGCCCAGGAATTCGATTCGGTTGCTTATTGAAATGTCATGCGATTTTGCTGTCGACGTGCGATGAGTTGAACGAAGTCGACGGGATGACCCATGCGGTTGTGGTCACGACAGATGACCCTCTGCGCGCCCATCAGAACTAAACCCCGAAGATTCTTGAAGGCTCTCCAATAATCGATTCTGTAGCGTTTCCGCCAGAGTTGGCATGCCCTGGAGTGGTTTTTTCAGGAAGCCGATGCCGCATAGCAACAGTACACATTGTGACGAGCCCGCCACGTGCGGACTCGACGACGACGTGAGTCCTTGCAGTTGCTGTGAAGGTAACGTACGCTTTGATCGACGTTTGTTGGACGTAGCTCGTAGCAACGACATGGTTCATACGGACGCATGGTGTGGTTTTACACGGTGCTGCAGAGGATAGATCGCGCAACACTCCAACATGGCAAAAGCCTTTTTTACGGTCGTCCCACCGCACCGTTTCAGTAGTCTACACGGACGATGTCTTGTTGTGCGCAGAGCGGGTGTCGATCCTGATTGCCTTTGCCAAGTGTCACTCCGGTGGCCATCCGCGTGGGAGCGTCCTAGCTCATGCAAACGCTACGCATGTCGGCGATACGAGCCGACACCCGCCTCGAGAAACGTGACCAAGGGACTGTGGCGAGCCAAGAATTGTCGCGCGGGCTACATGGCCATGCACCGACCGAGGTGGCGGCCGTTTCGAGCCTGAATTGGTTGCATTATCCGGAATTCGAGATTATCCGGACCCTTCAACCCTCCAACAAGCGCAAGGATGGAGTCGGCGGCGCCGCAGGCGATCTCGCCGTCAAAGGAGAGCAGCATGCGGCGATGTCCTGGCAACGATGTACGTATGGTATTCTATGAAGCACGTATACGTGTCGTGAATGTCGTCTTTATGGCCGCCTTGTCCTTCGTAGAGATGTGCTGATTGCAACCGAGTGTTTCCGCAATGGGCGTCTGTCACGTTCGGGATCCTCCTTTGCCTGGACTGTGCTGGTAAACACCGCGCGCTGGGAGTTCAAACGAGTTACGTCAAGTCGCTTTCGATGGATGCGTGGGTGTCCAGGGATCTCCTGCCCCTGGAACTTGGCGGCAACGGCAAGTGGAATGCAGTGTGCCAGGCGGCCGGTCTTTCTCGCGTGTCGACTGCCGACAAATATAGGTCTGCTGCTGCCGACGTCTACCGGTCCAAGATGCAGATCGCCGTGCAGTCAGAGACGCCCTTCACCCTTGTCGACATCCTCACCGTGCTGAACCTTCCGTTGGATCCCCCGCCTCCTCCACCGATCAGTCCCGTGCGACGCCACTCGTCCGCGATCCAGCTCACTCCACCGCCCCCTCCACCAAAGTCCTGTTCGTCTCCCAACATGGTTCAGCTGCGAAAACAAGCGTCCCTCGAAGTCAAATGCACACTCTGCCACGACTTTGTCTCGCTCTCCGCGCTTGACTTGCACTCGACGCGCTGCGCGTCGTCCACCGACCTCCATGTTCTCATCAATCCATGCATCCATGCTTGGACCTGAACCAGTCTACTTTGTAGGACACGTACGAAGAGCTCGAGTTCGACACGATCCTCGGGCGGCACCCCACCGACTCGTCGACGCCAGCTCCACTCGGCCTGAGCCTCACAAAGTCCACTCTCGACGGAAACACCCTTGTGTCAAAGGTCACACTGGGCGGGGACGCGGACGTCGCTGGCGTCATTGTAGGCAGCCAAGTCCTTGGAATCAACGGCCTCAAGACGTCCACGTTTGACACGCTCATGCAGTACCTCAGCCAGCACGCGACAACACGCCCGCTGGCGTTTTCATTTCGAATACGGCGTCCCGTCGCCGTGCTGGACGTCATCTTCAACGACCCGACAGCTCCTTCCAACACCACCACTTGCTGTGCAAGTTGGCCAGCCACGACGGTCGGGGCCTGCGAGAACTCGCCCGCGACAACGTCCCTTGGCATGGCAGTCGCCATGTCGGTGCACAACCAATGCCGCGTGATCTCGGTTGAAGCGGATGGCGCTGCTGCCAAGCACGGCATCGTTGTCGGGTGCACCATTGTCGCGGTGAATGGGGTGACGGGCGATGGGATGACGACAACCAAGCCACAGAGCGTGTTCGACTTGTTGCAGAGCATGGGCCGAGCGCGGCCATTGCGGCTGCGGCTACATCGATACACGACAGACGACGACGCGCTCATTCGACTCTGGAGTGGCTGACGGCGGTAGGCGGGGTGGTCTAACCAACAATGAATGCCATGTAGTCACATGTGTACTTCAGTTTAGCATGCAATGCCTTCACGACCGTTGGGGCGACAGCGGCGCCTTTTGCGTCATCGCGGGCTGCTTGTAGATGGATCGGTCCAAATGCGGCAGCGACGAGCTGCGGCGGCGCTGGTTGTCCAGTGCCACGCACACCTCGGCCGGAAGGTACTCGGACACACTCGGGTACGACTTGCGAATCCACGAGTGGAATAGAGCCGTCAGGAAGAGCAAAACGAGCGCCATGGCCGCCGGCGTCGGCGCTTGCTTAAGCGTCAGTACGCCGACCAGCGTCGTCTGGCTGATAAAGAGCCCCGTGATCAAGAACGAGTAGAGCTGGGGCCAGTGGAGTCCTACGAGCACACATGCATCGACAGGATTAGGGTCGGCATTTGGAAGCATGGCAGGCGAGAAAACCTGTCGAGTGGGTCGTCGGGACGAATACGCACAGCAACTGGCGGCGGTAGACTGTATCGGACACAACGAAGAAGATGCCACCGGCAATCGACACGACCGGTGCGAGCGGGGCGAACGTGAGGACAAGGACAAAGATCAACAAGTGCTGCGCCAGCGTCGTGGTAAAGTCAAAGCGGGTGCTCGTGGTCGCGGGGGTGAGGCCCCACCACGGCGCAGTCTTTTCGCGCGCCGTTAGGTTGGGCGACAGCGCCCAGTAGAGGAACCCACACAGCAGCGGGACGACCCGAAGCAGCTGCAACATGAGGCTCAGCCCCGTTTGAACCAGGATAAACGACACAAAGAGCGTGCTTTGCCCCGGAATCGACCGGCCGAGCATCGGAATCACCTGAAGCGGCTCTTCGATGATCTGTTGGATCTTGTCGGCGATGGCGGACAGCGATCCAGCCACCGACGCGACAAAGAACGTCTGGACGAGCTGAAATGCCACCACTTTGGCAAACACCGAGGCCTCGATCGCGTTTTGCGACGCATGACCTTCGCCATGCGAGATGAGTCGGAGCAGGAGCGGCGCGAGGCTGTTCATGACTACCAAACCCAAGGGACTCAATTGTTGCAGCATCGCTTCTAGCCACGGTACGGCGTCGAGTACTTGGTCCAAGTTGGGGACCACGCGGCGCAGCGAATCCACCTACACGCCATGACACGTTGCAAAAACCCAATGGAAAAGGGCCGCCGCAGCGAGGTCGGTCGCCGTACCGACGACAACGCCACGACCAGCGTCGTTGGCACGGTCCAAAACAATATCAACACGGCCGTCGCACCGATCGCCACGAGCGAGAAAAAGTCGCGCTGCTCGTACGTGTACGTGCCAACGTTGGCCCACACAATGTCTTCGCTCGGTGGGGCCTCTTGAATTTGCATCTCGTGAGGGGTTGCCGTTTGCACGATCTGCTGGACTGTGTTGGTGGCTTGCAGCGTCGAGAACGTGACAAACGCAGATCGGCGCAGAACCTATTCGACAACATCATGGCGGCATCGATCAGCGGCCACACGTCCCATCGGTCGACCATGGAGGAAAGTACTATACCTTGGTCGAGGAGAGGTCGGGGAGGAGGTTCGCCAGCGGGAGAAGCACGTCCGACGACGGCCGGAGAAGCGGAGTTGCTTCGTCAAGTCTGTCCACGGCGGCGGCTGGCTGGAGGCCATGGAGTCCGTCCTCGAGTTGACGGGATGCCGGGGTTGTGTTCAACGTAAAGCTGCCTGGACATCGACACGTCATAAGTCGATCCATGGCCGATGCCCGCGATGCCTCAAGACTGGAGTGGTCCTTACCGTGCTTTTGCTGGGCTTCAATGTCGCGAATAGCAATCAACACGTCGTCGTTGAGTTGGCGCAGCTCACCTTCGTACGTGGCGATGGAGTCCACCGTCTTGACGGAACACCATCGTCGCCACTGCCAGTGCGTGGGTCGGCGGGACGTGCGGCGCAGGACAACAAGCGCATGCTCCAACGCATTTCGCACCGATTCGCGCTGGGCCACCTACGCAACGACTTGCGTGTAAGCAAAGGGGAAAGTTTGTTGGAATGCAAAGCCGCGATGGAGGCGTCGATACACCTCGTACCAGACGCTCCAACTCGCGGCACTCGACCGCGATGTAGCAAAACTGGACTTGGTTGGGAAAAATCGCATTGAAGTAGCGCTTCAGCGCTGTGTGCGACCGCAGATGCGTCGGGATGTTGTCGATGAGCACGCTGTATTGCTGGGTACTGGCTCGCGCGAGGAACTGGTGACGCCGCTCTTTGTAGACCTGGCATTCGCGAGCAATGCAGTACATCGTGAAGAACGTCATCGCGACGGCGGCGAACACGGTGGCCCACAGTCGCGGATCGTTCCGCTGCAGGCCGCTGATAGTCAAGCGATCGACAAAGTCTTCTTGTTCCAGAAGCCTCGTGCTCGAGTATGCCTACAAATCCCTTCATGCATCAACCCGATGGCAAGAGATGCATGGGGTTTGGATACCGGGAAGAGGCCGATGGAGACGACGATCGCAAACGACGCAAGGTGCTTCCCAACACGTAGGAAACGGAGAAAGATGAGCGTGTCGAGGCCGCACTGGTCCATAATTTTGTCATCCGTGACGGCCCATACGTGCGGCAGCCACTGCAAGCTGACAACGGGGACACTGGTCGGTTGACAAGTGTACAGGTTCGGGAAGCATCGTCGCAGGACCTCGAAAAGAAGGAACCCGCCAAGCAGAAACGGACCATAGATCTGCGTCGCTGTCGTGAGAATGGTGCTGGCGTTTCCATGCAGGACGTTCTTGACGCCACCCACGATCGCCGACGTAGGGACTGGCAATGTCGCTGTCATGACTGTCGACGTCCGCGTCAACCGACTCGCCCCAAAATCGGGTCGAATTTCGTTGCCTTTAAAAGGATATACAAATATCAAGTAGAGTTGGAATTATGTGGATTTTATTGTCGCCGCACCACTTCAACATCCATTCCCAGGCAAGTGCGCCGCCGCGCGACGTGTGGAGAGGAAGCGGCGTTCGAGTATGCTGACGACGAGGCAGCCAACAAACGCCGCCCTCGTCTAGAGCACCCCCACGGCGCTGCGATCGCAGGTAAACAGCATGAGCATGCCGTGTCCATGGTACCATACCTCAACACGGAGGAAGATCGTCGCGAGCGCTGTCACTGCCCTTGGACAACATGGAGGTAGCGCAAGGATGGGCTTGACAAGCTGCTCGTCGCTGTTCAAGACCGCAACATGCAGCACGAGCGACCTTAGTACTTGGAGAATAGCATGGACCGATCGCTGCGAGTCATGTGCTGGACGAAGGCATTGGTGACGTCTGTTCGAAACTGCGTAAAGATGCCATGGCCGCCTCCCTGAATTACAACAATCGTGGTGTGAGGCGAATCAAGATGACATCTCAGCGCTTCTGAGTGTGACGACGGCAACAAACGGTCCTTTCCGCCACCAATGATCAGCACGGGGATTTCGGCGTCCTTGATCTTGGCGAGGCGGGAGCGGGGCATACGATGACTGAGCACAGCGGAGTACTGTCCAATTAGACCGCGGGTTCGAACGCGCGATGTCTTGATCCGCGTGGAATGAACCGTGTACAAAGCAGACCCGACCGCCACGTTCTCCAGGTACTCGTCTGGGTACAGCACCTTTAGCATCGTTTGCGTTCGTGCGTGTAGCGTCGGGTTGAAAAAGTTGCCGATCAAGGAGAGGTATGCGGAGATTTGCGTCCATCGTGGCCACGGCGCCTCTGTAAACCCAGGCGTCGACACCATCAGCGTAAGCGACCGCACGCGTGTTGGAGCTGCGTACGCAACTTCCTGGGAGATCATGCCGCCCATGCTGCATGCAGGCATCCATGAGAGTGGCCTGGACAGAAGCACGAACCTGACGCCGGCAATGTGAAACGTATTCCACTGCAAATGGTCCATGAGTAGCAGCACGTCCTGGGCCATGGACGAGGTCGAGTACCGCCCCTTGGGTGCATCTGTCCCTCCAACGCCGCGATTGTCGACGGTCGCAAGTTGGAACGTGTTGAGGGTGTTCGGCACGCAGAAAAACGCCGTAACGAAAGAAGTCCAGGCTTCCTTCTCGGCGGCGAGACCCATCACAAGCACAACTTTCTGCGGCGCTTCGTCGTGCCCATGCAACGCATACTCGACGCGCAGACCATTGGGCAGGGTAGCCGTATGGACGGACGTGAACTCCTGCACGTCGAGCGCGTCGGGCACCGACTGCTCCATATCAGCTCCCATATCTACAGTATTCGAATGACGACGGAAACTTTCTTGCACATTCGTTAGTTAATCGTTCGTGACTAGTACAAAGTTCCCGTGGTCTAATCCTTAGTAATACTAATAGTACATCAACGCCGTGTGGAGACACGCCAGTGGAGCGGCGCACGCGCGGTGGGCGCTGCAAACACGTCATTCTCCGCGTCATGATCGACTGCACATGCGCCTTCACAAAACCACGAACGAATTGCTCGTTTAGGACCCGGGTGGGTGCTATCGCCTTGCTGTGCTTCGCCGTCGGGTCGACTAGCAGAGCCTCTATCCCAGGGGGACGGGACTATTTCAACTCTTAACCTCCAGCCGAACCGACGCGCGAGGCCACGATGACTCGGCGGCAATCACCAACGCGTTGATAGTGTTTTTTCAATACGTCTGCACCATGCCATTAGCCAAAGGAGGCTGTAAACGACGCGCGCCATGTCGTCGCTCGCCGTGTGGGACGTACGGTGTAGAGAGCAAGTGCAGAGGTTTCGCTTGCGTGTTGTGGGAGATCCCCAAGTGTGTGGCGCATTCGAACGTGTCGTTCAAGGGTGTTCAAGTGCGTTGGAACTGAGAGCGGTCCTGCTGTCTTCTGTTCGTCCGATCTCATGCATCTCCTGATGCAATGGTAGACTCAGTCGGACCAGCTCGAGTCGATGGATCAAACGGGCTTTTGAAGTGAACAGCGAACTGCCCCAATGCACCTGAATTCAGGATGAGCCGCCCCTTGAACAATCGCCGTCCAGTTTGCCGTCAAGGACATCATGAACTTGGTTTGTGTCGAGTCCAAGGGGCACATTGAAGGGCTCAACATACTCAACGTGAATCAGGTGCTGGCTTTGCCCGAGTCAGTCGACCGCGCCTTTGCCGTCGAATCCTCGTCGCGATTCTGGTGCTGGCTACGTCTTGTGCCAATCTAGACGGGTCTGGGTCGTTCACAGCTTTGAGAAGCGTAACGAATGGATCGCGACGTGCTTGCCTGAGTCGGAGACGTGCTGGCTCGCCTTGTCATCACAGACGTCGGCATGGCTTGCACTAAAGACCTTCCCAACAAGGACTCAATGTACAGCAGTGCCATGTCGACGGCGACCGCGACGTTGCTGATGGTGGGTGTCCCCGATCAAGCTCACGTTCCTTTCGACCGGCCGTGCACGTCTCTCAAAGCGAACGTTCAAATCCAGGGCAATGCCAGAGTCGTCCAAATTGGCAGCTTATGTCGTCGCGAGTTTGACCTCGTCCTTCTCACGTCAGTGATCGCGCTCCTCTCTGGTTCGTGTGGGAGTGATGGCGACAGCCGCAGTTCAACTTGTCCCAGCACAACACGTCGCTTCTGTAGCCAGGGAAGCGCAGTACTGTGTCGACGATGGATTGTCAATCACGCAAAACGTGGTGTCTATCGCCGTCCCAAAAGTTGTCTCACGAGGTCGATTATGTGAGGAGATGTCGTTCGGGGTGGCAGGTCGCCTTGAACTCCAACGAACGAAAGAATTAGCAGCGAGGAATTGCGCGGCGATCCTTCGCATTACGCGCAGCACTGCACGCACCCGCACACATCGCGAAGGTCATGTCCTCTGAGGGAGCCGATGATCAAGTCCATCGGCCATCGACATTGTACACACGGTGGCATCTACGTAACCGAACAAAGTAGGTTTACGACCATATCGTACATTAGCGTCATACAAATATCAAGAATAGAACTGTACGAAAAACTGAAAGTACGTACAAAATACATTGTGATGCGCTGAGAAGTCAAGGTCATGCTGTTGGAATGCCGTCGACATGTGCCGCTACAAAATGCGTAGGTGTGTCGGTGGCGTGCGCATCAACACCGTCGATGGAGTCACCTCCAACGGTCCCGACTGGCAACAGCCCTGACTGGAAACAGCACAGTGCAATCTTGCTTTCTTTCGTGATGTGGCGCAATGTCCCTACCAGAACCTCCATCTCAATTGCTCCAACTAGTAAAAACATGCTGAACACACTGCTGCTTTACGGTTTAACGCACTGGCTTAACCCTGTGACCACGAATCTCCTTGCTTCTCACGCCGTAGAATACATGCGCTTAAGACAGTGCTATTGTCTTCTTGGGTGGTGCTAGAAAGTATTCACAGACGCCTCATAAGAAATCTGGGTTCTCGCCGTCCTGCGTTGCATATCATCACGGGATGTCCTGCTCCATCTAGTCGTGCTAATCGTGTGATCTAGAAAAACGTAAATACGTTATATTCACGGAGGACGTTAATTCGGAGCCAATCGGTGGCCTTTCTGATCGTTCACGTGTGGATAGTGTGGCATGGTCAGGTATGGCGTAATGAAATTACACCATCTCACTCCTGCATCCACCACCCGAACCTTCGCCGGCGCCGTGCTGCCGCCGCAAGTCGCGCCCGCTTGGCCCTCTATTTATCGTCATCCATCATGGCTCCAGTCGACAGGTCCAATTTGTCTCGGTCGGGCGCCGCGCCAGAAAACTCGACCTCGGCGGATGGCATCGTTGTGTTCATTCCTGCCGCACTCAAGCGGCCGTCCCACACATTATACTGCATCTGCGTCAAGGTCGACGAGACTCCACACGGCGGCGGGTGTGCAGAATGGTCGGTGAACAGGCGGTATTCGCAGTTCCTCGAGCTGCGCAGACAAATCTTGCTGTTTCTCCAGCTCTCGCAGACGTGTCCGGGATGCCAGAGCATGGCTCGCGCTGTCGGGTCGTTCCCGTTCCCCCCCAAAGCTTTCTTCCGCACCAACAAGCTTGTCCGGCAGCGAACAAAAGATCTCCAGTCGTTCGTCGAGATTGTCATCGCACGCACATTCTCCACAGCGCCAAAGTGCGTCACATGCGGCAGCGGGATCATGCATCTCGTCTGGCCATTCTTCAACCGCGGCGCGCAGTACATCTCGCGACCATCGACCCTCCATCGCCCGCTTCCAAAATCTATGGCCGGTTGCATCTCGCCGTCGTCGAAATCCCATGCCAAGAAAAAACACGAAGCTGCATCCGACTGCTCGACTACCGCTTCAGTCCAAGACATGCACTATTCTGAAGTTCACAATCGCACAACACATCGGATAAACGGTCCATCCGCATCCATGGACGATAGCAACACATCCGGCGGCGACCCGATCTTCCTCACCTGCCGGTCAGACAAGTCGTCGGGGTCCACTGACTCGAGTTTGGTCCAGCTTCAGTATCGCAGCCTCAAGCAAGAAAAAGCAGTGTTCCTCATGCGCACGATGTCGACACCCGAGCCAAACACTGCGGCAACAGCAGCACCGTTTCACATGTCGTACCTGGACGGCGCCATGAAGTGCACAGATCCCAGGACATCCGTCACCAATGTTGAGGAAGCACTCAACGAAGTGATCATCGCGGATGGCCATGCCAATACAAAGGAAGAAAAGATGTACCGCTTGAGCACCATGTGGGAAGCGTTCGAGCTCGAGGATATCCAGCGGGAGCTCGCGTCGACCAGGGCTGTTTAGGCTCGATCATCGAAGAAGCTGAAAACTCAAATTTTTTACGTTGAAAATGCAAAGAATTTGACATCCGAACGTTGTTTCTCCGACTTTCGATGGTGACGGGTGAAATACACGCCGTGTCAAATTTTGCCAAGCGTTGAAAAAAAAACGATTTTTTGAATGTCATTCCAAAAATTGATACATCTACGTTTGCGTTCATTTAGAACTGGTGGAAGCATCCGAGATGCCCGTGGCCACGACCGACACGCGGATACGACCCGCCATCGCCGAATCGAACGATGATCCGAAGATGATGTTGGCCAAGGGATCTTCTACCTCCTGCACACATGCAAGAATGAACCCGTCCACTACGTGATCGCTTCTAGAAAAAACACACACACCTGGGTCACGCGCTCGGCAGCAGCGTCCACTTCAAACAGCGTCATGTCGGGACCGCCAGTGATGTTGACAAGCATGCCTTTCGCCGCCTACACAACAACATGACAAACGATCCCACGGCCACAGATATGCAGCCACCTTGACCGACACATCCCCGAGCAACGGGTTGTACAACGCAGCTTCGGCAGCACGCAGCGCCCGGTTGTCGCCTTCAGCTTCGCCGCTACCCATCATGGCAGGCCCCATGCGAGTCATGACGGACTGGACGTCGGCAAAATCGAGGTTGATCAGACCCGGCATCACCATGAGGTCCGTGATGTTTTTCACCCCCGACAGCAGCACATCGTCAGCAATGCTAGCATCGTCGTCACACCATGCTGGGGTCGTGTTGAGAAGGGTACCGGAAAGCATCCATGAGCGACGTTTTTTCATTCGACATGTTGAACAGGTTTTGATTCGGGATGACAATCATCGTGTCGACGCTCTGTTTGAGTTCATGGAGCCCCTGGTCCGCAAGCTTCATGCGGTGGCTACCTTCAAACCGGAACGGCTACGGCAGAATCCACATACGCGCGGTGCGTGGACGAAGATTCGAAACATACCTTGGTCACAACCCCCACGGTCAAAATACCAGAATCCAGCACGGCTTGAGCTATCACGGGCGCCGCACCAGTCCCAGTGCCACCTCCCATTCCAGCCGTCACAAACATCTGCGCGCATCGTGCCATGATGGAAAGCGCCACTTGATTCAACGTACCATGTTGGCATTGCCGATTCGCTCCATGATCTCGTCCAAGCTTGCTTCCGCCGCCAAGCGCCTGGTAATCGAGGGATGTCGAAGGCGATTGAGATTGAAGCGACAGACGCGAGGTCGTACCCGGCTTCGGGGTTGGCACCACAACCAAGTCCCCCCGTGAGGTCGGACCCCATTTGAATGCGATTGTCGGTGAGGGTTGTCTTGAGGTGCTGTGCGTCTGTGTTGCAGACAAGAAAATCGACACCATGCAGGCCCCGCGCAATCATATTGTTCACTGCACACTGATTTAGTTTTGTTCGATGGAAAACAGAGCCGAAGGATATTACACGGACCTGCGTTGCCACCGGCGCCGCCTACTCCGACGACGATGATTTTCGGAGCGAAAGCATTCACGTGCGTTTCGTGGACTTTGTCCAGCCACGGGTGGGAAGAAGATGCAGGCGTTGACGTCGGCACACTCTCGCTTGCTTTGGTAGTTTCCACGTTAGACGGAACAAACACATTCCGGGCTGTGGAGTCGTCGTCCTTCCGGCTCTTGGAGAAACCCTGGGCAACTCAACATAACCTCCCCCCGAAATTGAGGACCAACCTTTTGGAGAGATGCCGCGGCGGCATCAGCAGCAGACGTCGACAGCGCGCGGACGTGGCGAATGCTCTGGAACGACACGAGTCGGGGTAGCATGAGGGGCAGGCAGAGGCAACGGCTGAAAACCAAACTCGAGATTGGCAACGCAATTTTGACCAATCAGAGGCAGCTTATTGCTGAGTACCATAGTTGAAGGGCGCAAAGATCTGCTCAAATTAGACATTTCACTCTGATCGAATTTAGTTCTTTTGAGCCAGGTTGACTGCATATTTGTATTATGAATGTGTCGAGATGTGAACGAAACACAGGCATTTACAAGTAGTATTGTGAGCGAGATATTTCAAACGATGAATCGACGAGGGAGAGGCAAGCTTGATGGACGTACCATTGACTCGCGACGACGAGGACTGGCGGGTGGCCAGGCTGCCGATGCATTCGACGCGGCATTCTCGTCAGCGGCAGGTTTTCTCGCCGTCTAGCTAATCGACAGCTGGGGAGAACTACTTGGTGCTACCAGAGTGTGAACACGACGGTCGTACCGCGAGGGTTGAAGTGACTTTGCGAGGCTATGAACGATTCAAGATGCACAATGATACTGGTATGGAATCACTAGCGCTGCAATAATCGTCGTCTTTGTGGAGTACACTCACGAGAGCGATCGAGTGGGTGGCTTGCTGGCTTGAGGTACGATGGATGGCGTGAAGAATGTCATTCCAGACGATGACACAGTGAAGTCTTTGCATACGACGTACTTTGCTTCGGGTTGTCGTTTCCCTTTCTCGATGCTGTCTACTATCCACTGAGGGTGTACGCAATGAACACGTCCGCCAGACTACATGCTCTTGATGTCTACAGATATACGCAAAATGAACAAAGGTTACCCGTAGTACCGCGTCAGTTTTGGAGCCGCTCAAGTTTGTCGCGATCACGTGAGTGACTCTTGTCTTGCGATGCACAATGCTGCAATATATCGCCGTCAGTAAGGAGGTTTCTCTCTTCACGAAACCACTCACGATGTGTTTCCGCCGTGAGCCTTCACCATTTTAATTAAGTTGTACCTAACGACAGCACAAACCGTCTCATGCACACATGGTTGTTGCATCGACGGCACCGTACGAGGAGACATTTCCAGTGTGCCCATTAAAGTAAAAGTTGCAACCCTGGGTATACATGAGTCCAACACCCGTTCAGAAAGACGTTGTTCCAACCTGAAAGAGTGTGGACACGCAAGCATTCTCTTTGTTCACGTCGCGGTCGAGGGGGGCCGCATGATGTCTTGCAACACTTCTTTTCATGGCCGCAGCGGCAGTCCTCTTGTCTTCTTGTGGCCGTATGGAGCGCTCGTTGCGACTGGTTGGACCGCTCGGGCCATTGATGTTGAACATGGACAGCGCGATTTGAAATGTCGATGTGGTAGCGCGAAAAAATTACCACCAATCAAAAGCCGACGTGGAAAAAAGTTTAAACCAATCATATGATGATTGAATCCAAAGAGCTGTTTCGGGCTCTGACTAAACGCGATTCCGATGACGTCGGCCTTGACGTCGTCGCTGTTGACCGCGGGATGCAAGGACATCCCGAAGAAGACTGGCGTGATTGGCGACCTTATCAAGGAGCTTCTGGCTGTCGAAGTCAAAATGCAGGATGCACACATTGCCGCAAAGCAAGACCCCGACAAAGGTGAAGCAGTGCTCCAACTATACGTGACCTTTCTCGAACGCCGCGACGCGCTCGTTGCACAACTACAAAAGGAAGGCATAGCTGTCCCCTGGAAACTACGAATCAAGATCGATGAGTTCGAGCAATCGGTAATCTCAAGTTGTTTTGACCTGTTCTGACCTGTCGACGACACTGTCGTTGGATAGCTGAAAGAACGAAAGAGGACCGCCGCCAACACGTCAGCGTCCTTGTTCAGCACTCCCACCGACGAGTCCACGCCAACATCCCGTGAAGAGGACAGCGAGCACCCCCTTGCCATTTCGGAAACGTCGTCGTACATCACAGGAGTGCTCCCTTTCGTCGCGTCCGTACTTGTCCTTGGCGTCGCGGTGTATTTGGCTGTGAGTCATGCCAACCTCGACTTGTTGCAATAAAGAAGATAATCACGCGGCAGCAGTGTATAGTATTGCCAAGGAAACATGCAAAACTATTGAAAGATATAAAATAATCCCCAACTACTACAAGAGTTTCGAAGTCGCAGGGAAAAGCCTTCAGATCCTGGTGGTACCAATTCGCTTAGCAGCACGAGCCCGACTTGGAACCGACGTCCTTGCCGGGGCCCAACGAGATAGCGGGCTTCGAGACCACGGGGGCGTTCGCCATGCGCTTCTTGATTTGAGCGGCCATCATCATGAACGCCTTTTCAACGTTGGCGGCGTTCTTGGCAGAGGTTTCCAAAAACTCAATGCCCAAGCTCTCAGCAAATTCCTTCGCGGCGTCTGTGCTCACGACGCGCTTGGCCGTCAAATCGCTCTTGTTCCCCACCAACAACTTGTTGACGTTCTCGCACGCATAACGGTCAATTTCGTGTAGCCACTGCTTCACGTTGTTGAACGATTCTTGGTCTGTCACGTCGTACACGACGATGATGCCATGGGCGCCGCGGTAGTAGCTGCTCGTGATGGTGCGGAAGCGCTCTTGGCCTGCTGTATCCCAGATTTGGAGCTTGATTGTCTTGCCGTCCAGTTCAATCGTGCGGATTTTCTACGACAACACATGAGACCACTGCCAGATTCTCGTCAACAGGATGGCCAACGTACGAAATCGACGCCAATGGTGGAGATGTACGATTCTGTGTAGGTATCGTCGGCAAATCGAAGCAGCAAACACGACTTTCCGACGCCAGAGTCCCCGATCAGGAGCAATTTAAACAAGTAGTCGCTACGATGGCCACGTTAGGATCCATCAAGAGTACCAACCACCTGTGTCTCCATCATGGACATCAAGGGGTATGGATCCACTTACTATTCAGGGTTCATCTTGCGTGACCTACACGGACTCGTGAGATTCTCGGCACGATTCCTTGCTTCATCGTACCTGGAGTTCAGTCAGTCAAAAGTTGTTCTGAGGTTGGAGCCTTCAGTTCTCGCGAAAAACGGTTGCGTTTTCCATGAAAAGTATACAAACACCAAGTGAATCCTATTTTTATGCCATTTTATTTGCCCCACCCCTTCCTCCAGCCTTCTCTTCTTCAGAACGTGTTTAATACATGCTGTAATTGATTTTTGTATAATGATCCACAGGACGGTTTAAAACAGTCGTTCTCGGCCGCCCATTGGCCCACGTAAAATTCGTCAACAATACAATTCCCAACACGATCGGATCATTGCTGGCGAGTGCTCATTGGCTAAAATCCAACAACGAATTGGTCCCGTCGAATCTTCGAGAAATGCGGTGTGCCGGCGACATCGCGACCACCTCCCTGCACTGGTTCATAAACGACCCGTGGGGGGACAAGGCAAGGTTCGTTGTGAACTGCCTTCCATGTCGTACACACGACCCTCGTTTTGTTGCCTATGCCAACGACACACACATCTCTGCTTCAAGACGCGTCCAATTAAACTGAAACATTTTTTTCATTGTTTTGAAACTGTGTCGCCCACGCCCCACACAGCCATGCTAGGTTCGAACGAGGTGGACAAGTGACGTTTATCTCGTGGTGCCGAGATGGCCGACCAACTCGAGAGAGTTCCGCCGGCAAGGCCTCGTCAGGGGAATTCAGATTCGTTCGAAACCATTCCAAGATTTGCAGGACGGTCTGCTGGGCTCATGCTACCCGCATCCGAATACTTTTATCCGTACGTGTGCCTTCTACGGATACTTTGATTACTTTATCCGGACGTGGGGTATTCGGTTTTTGGCATCGCAAACGGGCCGTCGCCGCAATGATGGACACCCAGCACCAGACCGCAACTGTTCAGCCAGAGCACCGGGTGGAAACGGACCACACGGACATGATCTACGACATCAAGATCGACTACCATGGTCACCGTGTTGCCACGTGCTCGTCGGACCGCACGGTACGCATCTACGAGGCGAAACAGGTCGCAACACCCAACAAACTCGTTGCCGTGGTGGACGTGCCATGCGACGGACCCGTGTGGCGATTAGCGTGGTCGCACCCAAAGTTTAACGTTTTGGCAGCGTCAACCCAATGTGGAAAGGTTGCATTTTACCGCAACAAAGCGCCTGCCGGTGCCCCCGAGGCGTGGGGACTCTTGGACGTTCATCAGACCCGTCCGTCGAGTATCAACGCAATCGAGTTCGCCCCGCACGAGTATGGTCTTGTCCTTGCTGCAGCTGCCGCCGACGGCACGGTGTCTATCATCACAATGACGCAAGCAGGATGGGTCACAACGTCGTCGTTCCAGGACAACAGCACCGGGTGCTTGAGCGTCAGTTGGGCGCCGTTCAACTCGCTGGGCGGACAAGGCGTGCGTCGTGTCGTGGTTGGGGGCTGCGATTCCAACGTCAAGATCTGGACCTTGCCCGAGAACTCGTCAACTTGGCACCAGTGCGATGCTGGACTGTCCTGTTTATTGGGTACTCATGCACCTTGTAGGACAGAATCGCTTCCGACCGGCCATACCGACTGGGTTCGCGACGTTGCGTGGGCACCAAACGCGGGCATGCCGTGCAACGTGATCGCGAGTGGCGGGGATGACCGCCGCGTGCTGGTTTGGTCGCAGATCGACGCGGGCGGCCCGTGGACAGTGGAGCAGGTGGGGGCATCGTTCCGTGCCCCCGTGTATCGACTTGCCTGGTCGGTTGCAGGTACTGTGTGCCGAGGATCACGAGCAAGTCACGGGATGGTCACGATGGTTTGTGCGGGTAGGCCAAGTGTTGAGTGTATCGTCCGGCGAAGACAGCGTGACACTGTGGAAGCAAACGCAGTCCGTCCATCGAACGTGGCGATGGACGCAAGTGACGGCGATTACAGATACGGGGGCCGTCCCGCAGGCAACGCAATCGTAGCAGTCCGTGTCGCTCGGACGCGTGAACCCAACCACATGTGCAAAACCCGCCATTTCTTTTATTCCGTTCGGTCGCCGATCTGAGGGTCCCTTCGCTGGAATGGCCGCGTCTCGACGTTGGAACTGTGTGTGGCTCGGACGTTGTCGGCAATTTGTTCTGGCGTGCGTGGTCGATCGAGGCAAATTGCAGCCACGACGTGTGGATGCCATGAACCTCGACACACCTCCATGTTGGATGGACGACATATAGAATAGGTCGCTTCACACACGGCAACTCGATGGGCATGATCCATCGCATGTCTCGCGATGCCGCAGGTACGTCTTTTATTGGAATGCCCGGTCGCCACGATCTGGGCGCTGGTGTCTACAACAGGACCGACATGCTCTTGTCAAGTGTGAGGGATTGACCACGTCATCCACAGACGCAGCATCTCTCTGGTGCACTCGTTCGACAGTGTTCAGATCTCGCTGACGCTGGCCTGCGCAACAAGCCATCGCCGCAATACCCTTAACTATTGGCCCACAGATCATGTATGTTGAGCGCAGTGACCGCGACCAGCCTGTTCCTCCGCCATCATGTACCCCTCAGCACGGTACAATGTGCACACACACACCACCTGGATGCCAACGACAAACGAATGCATCTCGATGGCAAAGGCAGCTCGGTCCCATGGTGTTTGTGCACGCAACGTGTGGGTTGATGAAGTGGAATGGAGTGTGGATATTTGTACCATGGAGGAATGGACGGCGAAAGCAGACTTGTGGCGAGTGTGGGTTACTCGTGGTACGTCCGCATGAGGAACGCGGCAACGTCTAGGAGCTGCATGTACTCGCTGGCGCCGTCGCCGAGTTTCTTGTCGGCCTCGGCGATGCGCAGGCAGACTTTAGCTTTCTTGAACATGTCCATGTCGGGGTGGCCGACAACTTCGTCCGCGAGCTGGTGAAGGATCGTCAGGACGGGGTACCCGCTGTAAATGATGTCGTCGATTTCGCCTTTGAGTCGGTCGAACGAGTTCTTGGCCACGTGTTGCCACATGACGTGAAACAGTTCTTTTGGCGCGACCTAGTTGTGGGGTTCATGGACTTCTTAATGCGACATCTGTACCCCGGCAATGGCCAAGATTGCGTCTTCGGTAATCTTGTCGCCGCTCAGCTGGTGCGCGCTCTGGAGATAGTTGATCGCTTTCCGCATGTCTCCTCCAGACACGTCCATGAGCACTTTTGCCGCGCTCTCGTTGATGGAAATCTGCTCTTCTTTGCACACGTGTTCAATTCGCGCCGCCATCGACACCTTTTCGAGCGGCTGGAAACGGAATTTGGCACATCGGGACGCCACGGGCTCAATGATGCTGCCCTCAAGATGAGGACACATAAAGAGGACAAGGGACATGAACGACATACCGACTGACGTAATTACAAATGAGGCAGAACCGCGTGACTTTGGAATAGTTCTCCATCATGCGACGCAGCGCCGACTGCGCATCATTCGTCATGGAATCGGCTTCGTCCAACACGATGATTTTGAACGGAGGCATCGTTGAGGACCCGGAAATCGCGCCCTGGGCAAACGACTTGACCTTTTCACGAATGATCGATATACCGCGGTCGTCTGACGCATTCAGCTCGAGGAACCGACCGTTCTCGCGGAACTGTGGACCGAACAACTCACGCGCCACGGCAATAATTGTAGACGTCTTCCCTGTCCCGGGAGGTCCGTAAAACAGCAAATGGGGCAGTTGACCGTTTGCAATCGATGTGCGGAGTGCGCTGACGACTTCGTCCTGGTGCGAAATATCGTCCACCGTCTTTGGCCGACTATAAGGAGGACGCGTATCCGTTAGGCATCACAACCCTTATATAGGCATCATGTGCATGGACGTAGCAGAGTTCTTACTACTTCTCGACCCACGGGAGGTGCTTGGTTGTGGCCATACTCGCGATTGCCAGGTGTGAACGAGCCAAATTCCCGCCACTCCGTCCAGAAAGTGTCCAGGTTTATTTCGTAAAACGGTAAGATTTTTGCATAAAAAACAAAAATATGCTGTCGAAATTGACACAATTGTTTCGAGTTTGTAAAAGATTCCAGAGTATTTTGGTAAAAATGAAGAATTTTGATACACAAGGACGACGTGGGCTTGACATCCCGCAACAACTAGGCACCTTTTCCAGCAGGACAATGAGATCGACAATAGCCGTCATCGGTGTTGCTCTCACCGGCACATTTCACTTGACCTGGGCACTCCTGCCCCTTGCGCTGAACGCGAGCTGCCACTCGTTTGTGTATCGCGGCTGTCCGAGTCCTCTCCTGGCCGAATTCCACACAGCCCGAGCTGCATTCGTTGCCGAGCCGAACGTGTGCTTTGTCGAAGATATTGACTTGACCCGACCATCGCCATCCATGTTGTACTACCCGCGGCACGACGTGCACGCAGCCAAGTCTTGCTTGCTGCCCGGCCTTCCATCAGCCGAGACGTACACCGGGCCAGTGTCGGCCCCCAATGTGGTGGCATTTGTTAACGCGCGAGCTCATACACATCGCCTGCCCACGGGCGAAATAAACCCCCTTGCATCTATCGCCCGCAACCTCGAGACCCAGTTGTACACGGTGCCTACAACTACCACGACTTCGGCTTGCAAGACGATCGACGCAGCCGACCTTACTCCTGCCTTGTTTGAGCAGTATATTCTCCGAAACGAACCAGTCATCATAACACGTGCCGCTTCCAACCTGGTCAACGCCACTGAGTGGTCTACGCAGACCCTCCTCGACCGCATCGGCAACCGACAAGTCCATGTCAAGGTTTCGCCGACGGGAGTCTTCGAAGGATGCGAGCCACTGGCGTGGTGGGATGGCGCTTCGGACGGTACATGCACCACACACTCTCTTCCACTCCTACCCAGTCGAGTTTGCGCGAGAATTTCCACCGTATTTTGCGCCGTGGAGCTTGTTTGTTGCATGGATTTGTGTTGCATGGTCTCGATGAAATATCTCTCATGTGGACCATGGTTGTAGCCATTCCCGATTTTGTGCTCAACCATTTGGAGTCCCCCGACAAGGTGTTGGTCCGTCCCGCAGCGACCAACATGCCGTTCGCGTCGTTTATCGATCGGTTGACATCGGCGCTGCCATCCAAGACTTCGTATTACTTGGAGTACTTGTCCATGGCGACTTACGTGCCCGAGCTGATGGCGAACGCGCCGCAGTATCCATGGGCGACGTCGTCATTTCTCGAGCTGGACGTGGCGAACCTGTGGTTTGGCGATGGGAAAAGCGTCGGAAAACTGTACTTTGACGCGTACGAGAACCTGATGACGATGGTGGCGGGCGAGAAAGAGTTTGTCCTGTTCGATCCATCCGATAACAGGCGCCTGTACGAAGGGCACATGCGCGAGGTTGACCGATCAAAGCCGTGCAACGTGTTGTGCTGGGAAATCGTTCTAGGCGCAATTCGAAAGGGACGACTACGATTCGACAGTGATTCACAGGCGAAAGCTGATGGAGTCGACCTCCATGGTCAACAGCCCCATCGACATCGACGACCCCCTCGACATTGACAGGTACCCCCTCTTCGCCTCAGCCACTGCGTTGCGTTGTAAGGTGCGTGAAGGAGACACCCTATTCGTGGTACGTGTTGAACGATCGTGGCCATTTCTCCTTGGCTGACTGGTGTCGATGGGTTGCCGTAGCCGTCGTTTTGGTGGCACGAGGTGAGGTCGACCCCCGCGGTACATGAACCCCGCAATGTCGCAGTCAACTACTGGTACAAACCACTCTACACGAAAGAGTTTCCGTGTAAAACGTGCCCGCTACGTTTCAACTTGGCCTACGAACATGTCCTGCAAACGTTGGCCCATGCTGCCAACACCTATCGTCCTTCCGACGAGCTGTAACGAGATCGAATTAAAGCTTACTCTTGTACACACTCTTCTGCCGCGCGATTTCTGCCACGTACGCTTCCTGTGCAGCTTGCTTGGTCAGACCCTTCTTGGACGCCCACGCGTCCCACTTAGCTCGACCGGCTACATCAAATACCCCCGGTCGAGACGACTTGTTGTCGCCCACTGTGCCTTGCTTGAAGAGAGCATACAGCTTGAGCTTATCGGCGTTGGAAGGGGTCGTCGCAGGGGTCCACCCACTCAGGTGGGACGCCACCACTTCCTCGAACGCGTCCTTCTCGAGTGGTGGCATGCAGATTTCTCAACAGCGACTAACGAGGTCAAACTATGTAGAGTACTATTAGTACTACTAATTCTACTGTGTTGCTTTCAGTGCATCACACCATAGCAGATTTTCGACTTTCTGTTAGTACCGCCCACACAACCTATAGTAGGACCTAGTACAAGTTCAAAGCAGACGTTCATGGAATTTCACCCAATGACATAATGTCACGCTCACCAAGTGCCATAGGTTTTTTACAGCGTTAAACCTGTTCATTCGACAAAGTCGGGGAAAAACAAGTTTAACCGACCAAACAGCGATCGAAGATACAGCCCTTGGCTCGGTGCTCAGTTGGTCGACCATGCGATACCCTGGCGCTCAATATCATTCGTCACTGGCACAACTGACGCCAAAGTCGTAGGCGTTGACCTGTCGACATCAGAGCAGCCCCCGTCGTCACGGAGGTCTATGCAGCCTTCCTGCAATACGGCGTCCTGTACCTTCGCGGACAACACGTCCTGATCCCTCACGCGCATTTGTCCTTTGCTCACCAGTTTGGCTCCATCGAAAGGCAGTGATACCTGACAGACAAAACGTAATGCAATCCATGGTCGTGTTGCAACGGCATCGGAGTGGTCAAGGAATGACAGGCTACCCCGACATTCATCTAATTTTCAAGGAGCCAGAGACCCCAACTCGATTTGGCGAGGAATAGCACTCGGACCACAACACTATGCACGTCCCACCTCTCCGCTTGGTACTCCTTCTGCCAACGAAACCATCAAGTATTTTTAATGATTCGTGGGTTCGAATCCCACTTTGGCCATTTAAAATAGTATATTTTATTAAGATGAAATAGTTCAATTGGTAGAGCGTTGGAATCATAATCCTAAAGTTTTAGGTTCAAGTCCTATCATCATTAAATTAAAACGGGAATGGTGTAACGACATCCCCGCTGTCTCCAACATAAACTCAGTGAATTTGAATTATCCGTGAAGATGCGGATTTTCTATAGTTAGACGGAAGACCCCGGAGACAGCGGGAACATCTTTATATTGTTATTTTATAAAATTTAGCAGAGTCCTGTGTTTTTATTAAACAATCGCAACCACAACGGCCCCTAAGTAGAAATAGGCGAAAGCTTACTATGATGGGAAAATTGTAAAATTCAATTTCTAATAAAAAGTGATAAAATTAACAATATTTTCAAGAAATATCTATTTAGGCCCAGTTTGGATACCACGAAAAATGACAGAAAACACAGGTTTTCTAAACAAAATAATATTTTTCTGACAATATTCACATTTTCTCCAAAACCGCATTTGGCTGCCACAATCCACATAAATAAAACCCAAAAATATGTCAATTATTTGTTGTTTTGTGTTAGAAAAAAAATGGAGCCATCAAGGTCCAACTTTTCGAGAAAAGGCAGCATGTCCTGTCTTTTCGTCATTCTCTGAGTGACACTGAAGCGGGAACATCATGACAATCTGGAATGACGAACTTGACGTTCTGTGGATCAACGAAATGACCCACCAGGCCAACGTGTTGGGAAAACGTTGTTGGAGCTGAGCGCTAGACGCATGCTGACCAGAGGAGAAGAGGAACATTCCCAACTGCTCCGTGACTTCGATGCGACGGGTACTGGACAAACCACCATGGGTACTGAGCTCACGTGCCAGAGCGCTGAATATTGCTTTCGGCATGCGAAAGTTTTCGACGAATGCGCTTTCGTGTCCGTGCAGCATTTCGTCCATCCACTGCGACCCGGAGAGTATGGACACACGCTTCGGCGTCTTGACGAGGTAGTTCGCGTAGAAGTATCTGCAGAACATGAGCAGAAAGTCTCTCCGGCGGCGCATGACCCGATATCGAATGAACAGAGCGATCATGCGTCTGTTCATGGCAAATGTCATCTGGAATTGAGGCGTCCAAACAGAACAACCACATTTTTTAATTTGATTCGAAACTCCACTTTGAAACGGGATTATTTTTCATCTATTTTAGTTGACAATTAAAACTTGAGGCATCCAAACACGGCCTTAGAATAATAAATACATTATATTAAAAAACCGTACCCTAAGACGAATATGTGTATTTACAGAAACAACTACAGTGCTAGCCGGGCAAACTCGATCAGTGCAACTCTCAAGAAATGAAATAAACTTTGGCTGGACTGACTGGAAGCTCTTACTTTTGATTGGACAAATACATTCAATATCAATCTGACCAATTGAAACTGAAGTCAATTGTGATTGGGCTAATTCAAATGTTTGAAACCTCACGTGCAATCGAGGACATTTCAAAATGGCGACGATAAAGCGGCGCCAACAGCGAAACACTAATGGCCAGCGGAAAGCAAGTCTAATACAATTCAGCGCATGCACGACAAGCGAGCGACAGTTCTGTCGCGATAACGTAATACCACTTTCTACATGGCAAGGATGGCGATCAAAGAAGAATCGCATAAGTGGCGTGTCGACCATGGCGCAAGCTCCATGGTCGACACGCCACTTTGGGAGGCCAGGGCGGAAAGGAGATCTTGTCGTTCCGAGAGGAACTCCTTGCCTGCATGCAAGCCCGTCGCGGTGAAGAGCGATACTTCAGAGTCTACCACACGATGCAATGGGTCAAACGCAACCACAAGGACTGGCTAATCACGTAACTGGCGTCGAAGAAAAGCGAGGCTGTTGCCTTCAACTCGTTCCGGCCGCTCCTTCTGCGCTTTGCCCAACGCCACCGTTTTCGTCACCGTGTACCTTGCGTCAACAAGGTCACTCAGTCCGTGCTTGTTGAAGTTTGGTTGGGGTACGCCGCATCGTTCTGGGACAAGTATGCTGAGTACGACCGCAGCCAAATCTACAACGTCGATGAGACCGCTGTGTTCTATGATATGCTGCCTGGACGGACGCTTACCGAAATTGGGAAGTCCAGTCGGGTGTCCAAGGGCCAGAAGCATTCAAGTCGTCTGACCGCCGTCTTGACTGTCAGAGCCGATGGCAAAAGGCTGCCCTTGCTGTTCATTTTCAAGGGAAAGACAGGTGGAACAATTGAGCCTAAGGAAATTCCACTCCTGCCTAAAGGCCACGTGTACGCCGTCCAAGAAAACGCGTCGATGGATGAGCGAGTCTGGGCAATTTCCGTTGATGCCCTTATCGGCCAGCACATTGATGATGCCTCGGGGCTGGTGCTTGACAACCTCGATTGTCATGTTTCAGATGCATCGCATGACAAGTTCGCAGAAAAATTGTTTAGCGTTATCGAGCCGCTGCCTGCCAATTCTACCAGCCGCTGCCAACCCCTTGATGTTGGGGTCATGGGTCCCCTGAAGTCAATGTTGAAGAAGGCGTGGCTAATGGAAAATGAATTGAGTGACGGCGGCGAACTTTCTGCTCAGGAAAAGAGGCTCGCAATGGTTCTTCGAACTATACGAGTTTGGGGGAAGATTTCAGCGTCCACAGTTGTGAAGACATTCGAGAAGGCAATTCCAACTGTAATTCAAGTATAATCACTCTGCATTATGATAATATGGTTGTCCTTAATCGATTCCCGTTGTCCAAAATTGAATTCGAGCACTTTGACCGACATTGAGACAAGTAGTGTGTAATGGTTACATTGGAATGATTGGCGAAAATGCCAGAACGTCCAGCCAACCAATTCACGTTTGTACAAATTGAAGTGGTGGCATCGAATTAAATTATTCGAATCTGATAATTCATTGTCCATACAATTCTCTAGTGTGATGCTAGAGTGTACAGTGCTGACCGAGTTTGCCTGGCAAGCCTGTACACGATTATCAACTTCTAATAAGCGAAATTGACCTTTATCTAAATCTTCTTCTAAAATCATATGTAGCTGTTGGTCAAAAAAGGATCAACTATTGCTGATTTATCAACATTTATTTTGGTTTTTTGGTCATCCTGAAGTTTATATTTTAATTTTACCTTCTTTTGGTATTATTGGTCAAAATATAGTATCTACATTTTGTTAAAAAAAAACAATTGTTGGTTATTTAGGTATGGTTTATGCAATGATTTCTATAGGTATTTTAGGTTTTATTGTTTGTGCACATCATATGTAGATGCGTCTTGCAAACGACTGTGGGTGTGGGTCCCTCGCAAGTTGTCCGAATATGGCAACGACACGCTGGTCAATTGCATGCAGACGGCCTACGAGTGTCTCTCGCCAAGTCTTCAAGTCATAATCTCAATGCAGTGCACACGTCCAGTGTGGCGTTCTCACCATCGACCCAGCGACAGGTAACCTCGCTTCTGCCGGACACTTGCCCGGTTAGGAGACCTATTCGTAGGCCAATATTGATGGGATAGCAGCCTTGAGGGGCCATGAAGATCAACACAACCCTGCTGTCCGTCCTGTTGTGATAATACACCCCGAGACGGGCAAGACAGCGCGTGTTGTCAACCGCACGTTCACCTCGTGCTTTGACAGTGTGATCGCGACGTGTATCCATGCGTGCGAACGATGCATGAAATAGGTGGACGAGGGCGCGTCTATCTTGAATATGCTGTTCGAAATCGTACCGACCGGAGCACCTGTACCGCTTTCGATGGACTCCAGAGCCGGAAGCGCATTGGCACAACCGACGGCTACAGCACATCGTCATCAACGAATAATTTTCCAGTCGGCGCGCTATGCTTATCAATTTACAGTTAAAAAAATATAAAAATGGAAATATATATTTTTTTTCGCCATAGACCGCATTGCGATCCATGACGGAGGTGCCATATTCATAGATGAGCCGTTAGAACTTTGCGCTGAGCGCATGGACATCCAAACGCATGGACACCCAAACGCATGGACACCTGACAATGGACAGCATGGCGTCACTCACCTGTGGCTGCCATCTGCGCTATTCAAAGACTTCACGAAGTGGTTTTTTATCCTGAAAGCAATGGCGCCTTCTCCAGTGGTTTGGCGCCGGCGTGCTTGACGGAGTGGGTACATTACGTGACGGCGGATTCCCCACGAACGTGAGCCGAACACGGCTTTATACATCTTTACCCTTTACCCTGTGGAGCTCGAATGACCCCGTCATGCCCGTGTCACGAGTACGATAATTGTGCACTGCTCAAGACCAACGACCAAGCACTGTCGTGTTCGAGTGCCGTACTCCACGTTGGGTCGAGACGACTGTGCTTCTGCACACCAGGTTACTTGACAGCGGGTATCTCGTGGCGACCTTTGCCCCGGCGCTTGTAGCACAGATGAGGTGTACTAGTATGCGAGCAACGGCTGCGTCTGAAGCGCTAGGATAGAGGATTTGTGCAGAAGATCGTGGAGCGCGACAACTGCCAGGGGGTACGCCACATACATGAGATCGATGGACCCGAGGGGCCCAATGTCGTTGTGGATCAAGATGCTGGACGGGGTCGAGGGGTACCCACCGACCCAGTCTTCGGGGGTCCTCGATCTGTTTACAAACGAGTTGGGGACATCTCGAAATGAGGCTCACATTGATTCGGATGGCATACTCCAGGGCATTCAAAATGCCAAACGAAGCGATCTCGTTCGTCTACCGCCCGCCACGTTCCTTCCCCCCGTATGGCTCCACCGACGTGTGATTTCTCGGGGGAAGTCCGTAGTGTTACCAGGGCTCGTCGGAGAATGTCGTCCAGCACAGTTTTAACTTCGCCAGTCCAAGTGCGCCGCCGTATCCGACGCTCCAAGTCACCCCGACTCGATTCAACTTGGTGTTTGGCCAAGTCATGCTGTACTCGATCCTGGACATCAAAGAAAACGTGGACCCACGATAAACATGACGACGGCACACTGCTGGTCGTACGAAGCACATGCACCACATTGTGCGTCAGATAACGCCAAGGATCGTCCACGAGTTGGTACTGGAGTGTTCAAGGTGGGCACCCGAGGGTAACCTGTCAAAAACATATCGGAAAGCGTAAAAACATAAAACGAGTCGGAAGAACATAAACACCCACTTAATGTAGATCATTTTTTAATGAATGTTTGTCGATCAGCCGGTTTTGGTCAGTTCTAAACTATAAAAGGAGTTGTACTTTCGAAATGACATAGCATGCGTCACGATCTTGGGCTCAAAATGTTAAACAGCCGCTGAAGTTGAAGCTCAGTGATCAGAATATTTGGGTGGAAGGTGGGTGTCTCGTGGGACTTC